AAGGAAGAGCAAGTTGAACTGATGAGATTAAAGTTAATCTAATAGTAGAAACGGGTATTTAACGGATTTCAGTACTGTGAATTAAATTTAGTATATTTTAATATTTTGTTGTCTTTTTTAAATGTCTTAATATAAATAGCGTTTCTTTAATGTTTGAAATTTCGAAATTCTTGACGAGTTAAAAAATCGTCACTCACAAATGAGTGACGGGATCTTTGCGAATTTTACGCGTCACCCACAGATACGTGTGATGTGACAATCAAAGTGTTAATTCAATTGGTAAAATTTCAAATTCGATAACTCGATATCTCTAATTTAATCTTTTCTTCTATATTGCAAAAAAATTAACAACTCTCTCTATCCATGAGATAATTAAAGTGCAGATTAGAGGTGAGTGGTATCGAAAAAGATAAATCGAGCAATCAATTTGAAAAATGAATAATCGAGAGCTTCTCGATATATTGACAATTTTTTAGTAATTTTTCTTCAGATGATTATTTTTCTGTCGGCACAAGTACTTGTAACAATATTTTTAATTATACAATTCGTCGTCTTTAATCTAATCTTTCTTGTCCGTGTGTCAAATAAAATTAAGAATTTTGTCCGTGATAACAAGATAAATATTGATAAATATTTCTTGATAAGTTGACTATTAATTAATTGAACGCAGTCATCCTAACGGATCAGTGCCCAATTTTAAGGCCGCAGCACACACTCTTGTATAACGCATAATGCATAGTGCATAAGCGAATCAACTAATCAGAATCGTTAATTTCCTCCCATTCCGTGGAAAAGAAGAATTTCAATTGGTTGATTCCTTTATGCATTATGCATTATGCGTTATGCAAGAGTCTGTGCTGCGGCCTTTATTGCCAATCAATAAGTAGAAAAAAATGAATGTAATGATTGTAGATCGTCATGATAAATAACAATATCTTACAACTCTATACTACTGCTCTAAAAACTCTATGCTCTAAAAACAAACAATATTACTATGAATTTATCACCATTATTGCTGCTACAAATTTATTAAACATGTTGTAACACAAGTGCATTTTAATGGAATGTATAACATATACAGTTTAAATAATATATATATTATGTAATATATGGAATATTTTGAATACGACTTAAATATTTTTGTTACGCTTTCACACTATAGGTTTGTTTTGTATTGCTGCACTAAACTGCATTAGAACTTTCCTTCTCGCTTTCACCAAATATCATATATTCCAGTAAACACCAACTAACAGTATTATAACATTAATATATAAATTTTAAACTTAAAATATAAATATAAATATAACATATTATACAATTATTGAATGTGAAATTATAACATAGATATTATATTACTATTATTTTATGTTACTAAGATGGATCCAGTGAAATAAATATATCTTAGAAGTATAAGAAGTGTACACTAGTTAAGTTATAAAAAACAGATCTTATAATTTTAAAGGGCTTGCTGTAACAATGGATTAATCCCTATTTTGTAAAAACAAAGTAGATAAATGAATTTTAAATTAAAGTAATGGGAAAAATATCACACAATATCACATTTTAAAATTTAATTACTCTATTTATACAAGATGTGGATTGTCCACTGTTGCAGCATGCCTTTCAAATGAATGAGTAGTACTCTCTTTTATCCTAACCGAATTCGCTAATCTTCTCTCTAATCTAATAGACCCATTTCTACCAAAGTAGATTAACCTTAACTTCGGATTAACTTACTCTTTATCTTTTTCTAATTCTTGGCATTAGAAGAAAATAAAAAGTATAAGTTAAACGGATATTAAATTTAATCTATTGTGTATTGATAGAAATGGACATAAATCGAACTATGCAGGAATATCTCATGATAAAGAATCAAATTTCACAAGTAAGTTTAAGGTAACTTTAATTAAATTCCAATTAACTTAATCAACGACATATTCGACCGACACACTTTCTAATTGTACAATTCATTGTCCTTAATCTTAAATATTCTTTATCTTTACTTATGTCCATTTCTTGTAGATTAAATTTAATCTTAGTTTGACTTACTCTTCATCTTTTTCTAATTCTGAGAATTAGAAAAGGATAAAGAGTAAAATAAACCAACGTTAAAATTAGTCTACTAATTGGTAAAAATAGACATCAGTCCTACTTAAAAGTTCTTTAAATTCCTACTAATCGTGCTCTTATTAACTCAATTAATGATAAATTCAACCGATACAATTTCTAATTATACAATTAGTCACTCTTGATCTAATCTTTCTTTTCATTTGTCAATAAAAAAAACTAATAATTCCATTTACGTTAACAAGATACTGCAGCTATTAATCGACAATTGAAGCTAATCGGTGTAACCTGTAGAATCTGTACATCAAGCTGCTTGAGGTTATTGCATTAAATGTTCCAACAGATGTACGAAAGTTCAATGGAATTGAACAGTTAAACAAGATACGATAATTATCTATTAATTCTAATCGAGATAGTCCTAGGCATAATTTATCTAGAGTAAACACGGTACGACTCATGCACACGTCACCGGCAATAAAAATGTCAAGTGAAATGTATGACTCAAGCCAAGCAACGCTCGCCGGAATGCGCAACGGCGGCTAACCAAACTTTGCGCTTTCAATCTCCCCGAGCTAGCCAGCCTGAAAAACAAATCCACGCGAAAGAAAGTCTACTCATTTTACACGTAATTTGAATATCGTACGTTCGATCGCGCTTAATATTAGGCCTCCTGTCGGAAAATAAACCGAGAAATATGCGGAAAGGGAGCTGGATCGTCGCGCGTTGCGATATAAAACGATCGTCGTCTAAACTAAGTATACACTCACCGTTCGGTGGAAGATCCTCACGTAAATCACCGCCGCTTGTACGGCCCTTTCTCGATAGAATATCGACGAAAAATCGGCGGAGCACGATTTATCGTACGGGCAGAAATTTCCGATTTCTACTCCGGCGATGCGCTGACAGGTAGACTGACTAGCTGGGGCGTTTGCCGGATGTGCCGGAAGTACTGTTTTCGGCCGCTCCGATTTTAGCGGCGGCTTAAAATCGCCGATTGCACGCGCACAGGTCCGTCTTCAGGTCTGTTCGCGCGAGGGGAAATGCACGGCGTATTCGAACTGTAATAATACTGAAAGAAACACTGGAGCACTGGTCGTTACTAATCAACTCACAGAGAAGGTTTTCAGGCGACAATGTATCCCTCTTTCTCTCAGTACAGTCTCAAACAAAAGTTCGTCTGCATTTTTTTTTGTACCGCACGCTTTTATTGGAGATGTGAAAACAGCATTATTGTCTATTTTTAGTAATGTAGATTTTTAATTTTTTATGACTCTAATGGATTTAACTTGCTTTCTTTCTTTTTTTCGTTCTAAGAAAAACTTAAAGAGTAAGTTAAACCGAGATTAAATTAATTACGATAGAAATGGATCATTGATAACAAAAGACGATAATAGCAAGTCAATTTTTTTTTCAATTAATATATTATATTATGAAACTTTTTTAGGCTTAATTGTTTTTCACGAAATTATAAAATACTCGTTAAAACATGAATTTTGCGCAATTTAGTAATTACAATAAATTATATAATAAATAAAATAATTTCCCTGTAAGATTGCGCAATTTAGTAATTACAATAAATTATATAATAAATAAAATAATTTCCCTGTAATAATTTTTCATGCATAAATATATATATATATATAAATATATGTATAAACATACATAAATATTCATAAACATGTATAATCATATATGAATATGTCCATACCATGTTTATATATCTCTTTTTCTTTTATAAAATTACTTTTTAGTGTAATAAACAAAATCAAGTTTGAAGAAATGTAAAAAAATTACTCGTGTACAATTATTATATAAAAGTATGTATAATTGTGTATGAGCAATTTTTCTTACATTTCCAAAATTGTTTTCTTCTAAAATAAACAATGCGAAAAGTATCCCTTTAATTATTTTTTATGTTTCCACGTTATTATTATTATTTCTATTACACTAAAAAGTAATTTTACAAAAGAAAGAGTAATGTATAAACGTACGGACGTACATATATATGATTATACATGTTTATAAATATTTATGTATGGTGATACATGCTAAAGATAAAGAATTGTTTACCGGGTTGTTTTAACGCTTTAATAATTATAAAAAATGAATTCCTTTTCATTCAAGATGTAAATTAATGCGCATATGCAATTATAGCGATCTGTTAAAAAGTCGAACGTTGCAATTTCCCGGGAAAAAATGTTATATATATATGAACATAGTCTACATATAATTATATATAAGTGTACATAAAATATGCTAATTTTTTATATAATTATATATAATTTCATATGAAATATTTTTTCCCAGATTAATTAATAATATGAGATAAAATAATATGAGATAATCACTTCTTATATTTACATATTTATGTAGATATACTCTACATATTTCTTGCAAATTAGTATTCTGTTATAAAACCTACTGTTTTTTTTTTATTTCTTACAAAATCTATAATCGATTCGAATGATCATAGAAATGCACCAATCAAATGTTTAATTTAAAAGGTGCCATGTTGTTGTGTCCATGACGTGATTGGTCCGCTCCTTTACGCATCTGCATTAATAATCCATTGAAATATAAATTTACATATCATTTGCATTTCGCTATTATTCGTTCTTATATAATGTATACAGTCATCTAAAGGTTCCAACTATTCATGGACCTAATTTAACCTTATTGGCGCGATGAGTGCGAAGACTCTTAAGAGTGCATAATACTGCATAAGAGTGTTAAGAGCGATTAAGAGGAGCAGAATATGTTCTGTGGGAGCAGAGCAGAGAAGACAAGTCAAGAACTTGGTGGTGATAATTCGGCTTATCGTTATCGGCTTGTTTTCGCAAATTCACTACAGTTCACCATATATATAATTCGATTCAATTTATATTTTTTCGTATAATAAGAAAGTGCTAGTATCACCTGAACTAGTCAATAAAATGACTACTAACCTCCTGTTTGTTGAATCAATGGAAATACTGCGGAATAGTTTGTCGCACTACCACACTTTGTTAGAAGCGATTCTGATAGTTTCGATAGTGTGGTTTATTTCTAAGAAACGAAGTAACCAGGATTCAGTACTTTCAAAAGAATTGGTGGAGAACAAATTAGCAGAGTGGCGGCCGGAATCTCTCGTACCGGAATCATCGAAGAATCATCCTTCGTTAAATCCGAAATACGTCACTTCTAAAGTCGGAAAGCGAGTGATAGTTGATGGAAAAAATTGCCTTAATTTGGGTACACATAACTATTTAGGTTTCAGCGACAAAGCAGAACTGATAGAAAGTGCTGCAGCGGCTATAAAAAAATACGGCGTTGGATCTTGCGGACCACGAGGCTTCTATGGAACCGTCGACGTACATCTTGAATTAGAAGAACGTTTAGCTAAATTTATGGGCGTGGAAGAAGCAATAATATACTCGTATGGATTCGTCACTGTGTCGAGTGCAATTCCAGCTTATTGTAAACGTAAAGACTTAATATTTGTGGACGAGCAAGTAAATTTTGCCATACAAAAAGGATTGGACGCATCTCGAGGAAATATTCGATATTTCAAACACAATGATGCTCAAGATCTACGTAATCTCTTAATGAAACAAGAGGAAATAGATAAAATACATCTTAAAAAGGGTACAAAAGTCAAACGTTTCCTGATTATAGAAGGTATTTATATGAATACAGGAAACATCTGTCCTCTACCAGAATTATTGGCTCTATGTAAGGAGTACAAATTGAGAATCTTTATCGACGAGTCAATATCATTTGGTACCATCGGGCTGCATGGAAGAGGTGTTACTGAATACTTTAACATTCCTATAAGTGAAATAGATATGATAATGGGTGAGGAGTAATTATTAAAGCCAAATATTTCTTTTTAATATATGAATGCATATATAATAGTATGTATTTATATATTATATATTATTGTTATATATTATATATTATTGTTATATATTATATATTTATATATTATTGTATATATTTTTAGGATCTTTAGAATGGGCTATAGGATCTATTGGTGGCTTTTGTGTAGGAGCCACCTTTATCATCAATCATCAACGATTATCTGGCCTTGGTTACTGTTTCTCAGCTTCTCAACCACCTCTCTTGGCATCCACTGCTATCACTTCTTTAGATATGATTGAAAATAATTTAGAAATATTCCAGTCTTTGAGAAATAATGCTTTATCGATACACAATGGTCTCAAAGAAATCTTAATGTTAGAGTGCTCTAGTTTTGCAGAATCGCCTTTGAAGCATGTATATTTAAAGGAGCAGAAAGATCGTGCCATAGAGGAGAAATTACTATCTGCAATTTCAAATAAATGTATAGAAAATAACTTGGCGATTATAGTGCCTGTCTATTTGGAAACTGAAATAATGTTACCCAGACCTAGTCTTAGACTTTGTATATCTGTTAGTCTGGATAACAGTGATATCAAGTTCGCACTAAACACTTTAAAGAAGTGTACAGAAGAAGTTTTGTTGTCATTTTGTGAATGAAATAAATGAAACTTGAGAAAGAATTATATTTTAAGATATGTTCAGCTTGTATATCAGAAATGCATCTATTTATACATATCATATCCTGTGTATCAACACGGATATTGATTCGTCCATATAGCTTTTTTGTACGATGAAAATATAGTTATTAAGATAAAATAGAGCTTTGAAAACATTGCTACACACCTATTCTTTTAATATTTCATAGAAAAATGACATCAAATTTTATAAACTTGTTAATGAATATTAATCCCTTTAGGGATTATTGTTCACAATTGTGAAAAAATCTAAGCGTGTATGATAAAATAAAAATTACAATTTATAAATAAATCGGTGTTAATAAATAAATACTTTAATATTGTAAAACAAACCTTTCTAAGCTATATATTTGACAATCAAATAGTTTAGTTAGAAAAATTCACTGAATACAACTTACGTGGAGGAGCAGATTTTCAAAATGTTTTGTCCAAAAATTTTATTCTTTTAGTTAGAGATAGCGTAATGTTTAGTGTTGAAAGACTCGTATAAGCTACTCTGGGATATTCATTTTTTCATCTTTAATTTATATGCTGAAAAAACTTAGACATTCGAATGCATTTATATTAAACAAATGCATTTAATTAGAGAAAAATAAAATGCATTTGTTTAACGTTTTTAGCAATTGTTTAGCAATTTGGTTAACATTTCATATGCTACTGATTAGCAGTTATTTTTTTCTAGTTTTCTAAAAATTATAAATTTAAAAAGTCTGCTCTTCATATGATTATATAAAGCCGCCTGCTATAATACAACGGCAACAACTTGTAATACTTGCAAACCGCTTTATTATTATAATAGATACAGATACGCTCTTATTAGTTGTCTCTCGTTTCAGGTTCTTCGTCGTATGCCGCCATGACCTTCTCCATAATTTCCCATAACTTATCTCTCGCTAAATCTTTGCAGAAAACCTGTAACAAAATAATTTACATATAAACCTATTAATATAAACTGATATAGAGACATGTAATACTCACATTAAACCATGGCTGTTGATCGCATTCATCCATCAAAGGTACAACCACGCCATAAATTTGCAATGACAAATTAATACAAGCTATCGCTATTAAATTCGGTGGATAGTCAAGAATAGCTGGGGAATGATGAAAATCTTGCAATAATGCCATGCTTGTTTTGGCGACAGGATACTTGGACCATTCTTCTTCGCCAAACCAAGCTTGTAAAGATCGTAGAAAATGAAGCATGTACTGCAACAAAGTATAATGTGGTTATTAATACGTTGACACACATGTACGTTAACATTATTAGTTAATAATATTTGCGATACCTTATGCGGATGTACAGGCGTAACCTGAAACTTGAGCATCCTCATGATTAAAAGTTCAGCTTGAACAATCGCATCTCTCATACTCCAATACTGATCTCCAAGATCAAGCGGCTGAGATCCTCTATGAAGTGTATTGTAAGACACATTCATTACGTCTCGTATTTTTAGCGTATCATCCTTTACTTTACCAGCGAGATAAAGACAAGTTGCAGCTAAAAGCTAAAAAAAGATAAAATTTGTCAAGTTTAATCAGAACTTATCTAGAATCTCGAAATAATTATACTATAACTCATTTTTACATAATTATCATATCCCTGTGGTGTCGCTTCTTTAATAAATCTATGATATAGCGTAGCAGCGGTAGCAATTGTCAATGGGTGAGCTTCCAATTTCAAACCTACAATTCAAACAACTATTATATAAAAAATCATATTTTATAGACAACTTTCTAATGACAAAATTATTGTTATAACAACATACCGCATTCAAAAATAAATCTTGAAACCGTAAAGCTGTCATTGTTCTTGGTATAATCGATTGTAATACTTTTTTGTAATGTATTCCTTTTCTCACGTTGCATTGCAAGAACGTCGATCACATCTTTCATCTTTGAGCTAAAAACGTGCAAAAAATGAATTAAGAACCGATTGTTCCATCTTCGGATAAACTATGTGGTAATCTATCTACTGAATAAACAAAAGAATAAAAGTAAAAGCATAAGAGAGCGGGGGCCGATTGTTTCTTTTTGGTAAATTTTACCTGTTGGGTAAGTAGCAAGATGATCCCATCACATGTACGTGTACATGTACATGTATGACGGATTACCAGATATATCTCACAGGTAAAATTTACCAAAAGATGGAACAACCAGGCCTAAGAGTGTAAAACAGCGAAATGAACCAAAAGGTGGAGCAATCTAGTCTAAATATATTAAACAAAAGAAAAAAAGAAACAAACATGGCTCGATATACAACAAACTTCAAGAATAACAATGAGTGTCAGAATTATGTCAGCATAGCGTTGAGAAAATATTGAAAAGCATTTGATCTGTCAAGAGTAAACTGGCGTATAACCTTATCTCAGTGTCATCCAATGTGAACTCATTGTACCTGAGAGTTTCGGTGCCGGTTGGCTCTGAAGGATTCATCGCGGATATACTTGTCTCCGCAGAAAAGGTCTCGTTTAAAAATTGTGTAAGCACGCTAGTGAAAAAACTTCAGTTTCCAACTCATTCAGGTACAAGAGATCCTAACCCGAGAGAAACCTGAGAGCGGCCATACCGCCATACCGGCTTTTTTCATATGACGCGCAAAAACCAGCAAAAATCTACCCGTATGTTAGCGGCATCAACGTCATTTTGTATAAAATGATGTGAACTACGTATCACATTATCGACACCGTTGATAAAGTCGTATTGTCAAAAATTGGATTTTAAAAAGAAAATGTTATATTTTATGATATATAATTAAAGAAAGTTTGCAAAAAAAATTTGTTCTCTCCATACACGTCATCAAAGTTGAAATTTATTTTTCAATTCTTTAAGGTTTATTTTAAATAATGCCATCTGTAGAGCGAAATCGTTCCAGAGACAGGAACATGAGGTTTCAAGTCTGGATAGATGCGAGATTGGACAGAAGCAAGATTGGACAAAAGGAAGATTGGACAAAGCAAGATTGGACAGATAGAAGATATTGAACGAAAGCAAGATTGGCCAGGGTACTAACGAGATACTATTAAAGACCCTCGGCGCTTCTAGAAATTCGCGTGCCTGTTAAAATTTAAGTAATTAAGAGTAATAAACTATTAATACGGTACTAATTTCATAATTTATTAGTTTTGTAGACATGTACATACGTATGTTTAAAACTTAATATTTTTCGATTTTTATTTAAAATGTGATTTTAATTATATCATCCGAGTTTAATTATCAATAGAGATGATAACTGCAGGAAAAATTGTGATTTTTCGGCAATATATAAGATATTATATCATTAAAAGTATGCATACTTATTTATCCAGCAATATTCACCCTGCATCCGATTTGCGTCGTACGACGCATTAGGCCTGTTCTTTTTGGCTGAACTTTTGCACCAGTTCATCTTTCTTCCTTTTTTTCTCCAGGAAGAAAGAAGAGGAAGAAAGATGAACTGGTGCAAAAGTTCAGCCAAAAAGAACAGACCTTATATCGCGACTCGCGACTGCTTACAGCGCCACCTTAACGGCGACCTGATTGGGACCATAAAGCGGGGAGCACAGACTCTTGCATAACGCATAACACATGAGGCATAAGAAATTGAACCAACCAGAGTTCTCTATTATATGGAAGGGAAAGAAACGGAGAACTTCGATTGGTACATATTCTTATGCATTACGTGTTATGCGTTATGCAAGAGTCTGTGCTCCCCGCTTAAATATTCGTCCCCACCATGTGACTTAGGCACAGTATATACTTGGGTCTCCTAACTCCTTTTGGACAATCTGAACTTCATCTTCTTACGTTGTCTGTTCGTAAGCGCGTTGCGCGAGACGAATTGATGTTCATCTCGCCGTCGTCTGTCTCGTAGGTTATGTCGCGTTGATAGCACGTATTAAAATCGCGATCGCGTATTAAAATCCGTAAAATCACGTGCGAATCGGTCTCGATCTATGACTCCGCGAGCGAGAAATTAAACAAGTCGTAGAATCGCACAGCATTCTGTCCTCCATTAAAAGGATCGGGTGAACACCCTCGAGAATCTTCGCTTATTGCGTTGCTTTTCGCTAACATTGAAATTCCGAAGATTCTCGTCTTGCTTTCTTCTCGGTGGACGTGACGTAAAAAGAAGAGAAAGAAAGAAGGAAAGGGAGACAGAGAAAGAGAGAGAAAAAAAAGCCGCGTCCAAATCGACGCCCAGAGACAATAAATAACGTGCAGGAAAATAACGAGATGTCGGCGTCTCCTATTGCCAGACAGGCCACCCAGAGCCAGAGCATACCATCTAAGAGGATCGTCATTCATGATCCCAACCAGCTACCGGTCGACTACTCGTCCACTCCTGGAGGCACGCTCTATTCCACGACGCCGGGAGGTCAGTGCATCCACATTTTCCGATTCTCTCTCATCACGTTTTTTTTAACTCGCCCGCATCTCCGAGACATCTAAGCTACAATCCCCAAGTTGTCGACGGCTCCCTGTAAAACTTACGGAAAATATATTTTAGACCGGTATTTGTAATCTATTTTTGAGCTAATAAAATACAGATTTTAATTAGGACTAATTAGCGACTGGTAGCCCTTATTGACTGAATTTTAGGATTAAGACCGAAACATAAACTAAGCATTGAGTAAAGTCTTAAGATATAAGCCAAGAGCTGTATTAGCATCTTAAGACGTTCCCAGGATGGTCTTAAAATAAGAACGGACTATGAATATCTCGCTTACAATTGTTAAGGACACACATTTAGCTGGTGCTCAGTTAATAATGGCGATTGGCGGATAAATTGGTCTGTTTTCTGTTCCCGCACTAGACTGTTCTAAGAACTTTCTTTCTCGCTTTAAGTTCCAAAAGTGTACACTAGTTCAGCCACAGAAAACAGACCTAAGATCAGATAAAATAAAAAAAAAAAAATTCTTTTGTAGAACCATGTCCATCTCCGAAATTCACCAAAAATAAAAGAAAGAAAACCCGAGTTTTACTTTTATCACGAGGATCTTATGATCTCGATATTGTACGCAAAGTCATTTACGATCTCGCCGAATAATATGCGCACGTGCAAAGCGCCGTCAAGGCCATTGATATTTACGCACAACGCAATCGTATCTTTCTCTTTCTCCCCGCGCACACGTATGTACATACGCATACGCGTAAATACGT